TTAAAAATGAGGCAACGGAAACTCAGCAGAAACTCAGCACAGAGAACTGTCAATGCAAGGAAACATGGTCCTGAACTACAAATTATGAATATAACATTTCACCAATCAGCATTGAAACATGTGCTATTTTAAAATTTGCCTATTTACAGATTAATGGGATACATGTGCCTGTCGGGGCGCGCAGATTTTTTTAATCCTCGGTGGCACTGAAGAGAGGGCAACTCGCAAGTCCTGTTCAACAGACAGCCGTGACCTGCTGTTGTTCTTCATATAAGTCAGAGTAGAGAACGCCAGCTCACACAGGTAGGTAGTGGGAAAATGAAGTAGTTGCTCAATCGCGTGGTGGGAGATGCTTGGGTACTCCGATGCAGAAGCCAACCAAAACTGATCCAGTGGGAGCTCACTGAATTTGAGTTTCAGTGTGCGGTCCACACGGAGCTCTGCGCACTCCTCTCTCTCTTTCATGGAGAGCTTCTCTGTGGAGGATTCCTGGTGGAATGGGTCTTGGATCCAGTCATAGTCCTCGATGTCAGCCACACGTGGAAAATACTGCTCAAACCTCTCTTTTAAGGTCTGAAGGTGTTCCGCATACACAGCGCGCTCCTTAGCTGCCTGCATTTTCCCGCTTGCTTGTTTCTCAGTTTTAATATTGTCCTTCAGCCTTTGATGTGTCACAGTCTTATAAATCCCACCTGCGCAACTGCGTTAACAGCGGAATACGGGGTTCTGTGAGGATTATTTTTTAAATAATCGTTTTTAGGTATAGAGTTTGCCTCTGTATTATGAAATGTGTGCATACAAAGTACTGATATAGTAAATAAAAAAATAATTATTTTTGTGTAGTTGTATATTGCAATAATAACGTATGTTTGTCACAAAATCCCACGGCACACCTGGACTTGCCTCACGGCACACCAGTGTGCCGCGGCACACCGTTTGGGAACCACTGCTCTAAGGTACTCGAAAGGAGGGTCAGGCCGATTGTCTACCTCAAGTGCTTTACAACAACTTTAAAGCTGTCAGATATTGTGATTTAACAAGCCACTAGCATATCCATCGGGACTCTTTACTGACAAACAACAAGTGGCCACTTGAGACCACATGAACATGTCAGAAGTCTTCTCCTTATAGAGAGCAAAACCAGCTGTTTCTGGGTGCTGGGGGGGCTAGCATGCTAACAAGATATGACATTAAAATATGTATTGGTCAGTTTGAGTTGTTAGGGGATGCATTTTCCTGCTATAAAATAAACTGCTTTTTTCAGGCCTGCTTTTCTTGTGCTATGCTAACACATCCTGGACTGAACTCACTTCTGATATGATGGCATGTAATATATCTTTCTGATGTAAATACTCGTCAGCTATCACATTTCCTAATGTTCCTTTAAACATCTTTCCACTGGACGTCCCCTGAAAAGATGGATCCTTCTTGCTCTTCTCTCTAAGCCCTTGAGTAATTAATTGTCAATCATCTAAAAGACACACTGAACATCAAATGTTCTTCGAGGCTGCGCCATCTTACCGAAACCCATAAAACCATAGACCATGAACTATTGGTGCGTGCAAGCCGATGCTCTGTCCTCATCTGTTTAATCTCTCTGCAGTGGCCACAGCTGTATGTGATAGAAGACACCCACCTGTATGTCAGCATGATGGAGAACTGCCATTACACAAAAAAAACTGAGAAATTGAAGTCTGTTAGCAGTTTGGGAAGACGATTTGTCACCGTATTGATCGTGCTTTGAACTCTGTGGGTCTAACCTGCAGAGAGCATTCATACTTCGTTCATATAGATGGATGGATTTTCAGAGAGGATGGTGCAATTAAAGTTGTATGTTGTCCATCCATGTACTTTTATTTCCTCTCAGTTTATTTTGTATTCTGGACCTGTAACTTACCCTGTGTGTTGCTATTCTCCCGTAGCAAAGCAATTTCTACCAGTTACTTCGTGCTGGTTGGCCTGTAAGTATTCTGTGACGATTAATATCCTTTGTTTGTTGGGATTTAGTTGTTCTTTAACTCTCTGCTGACCTGAGGCTGGTATCTTCTTTGTGAGCTTGCAGAGTAGAGAAGGCCCAGAAGGACCACCCGGAGAGATGGGGAAGCCCGGCATGCAGGTAAAACATCCATTCACAAATATAAATGCAAATGGTGAACCAGAATATGCAGCATTTAGAAAGATAATATGGAATTCTGAATTGGTGATAGTGGTATTTGTTGCTCTTCTTTCTCAGGGTCCACCTGGCGAACCTGGAGACCGTGGAAGACCCGGGATGCCAGGAGATATGGTGAGCACCGAAACCGGCACTTCCTGATCCAGGAAAAACGTTATTGGTTTCAGCAATTTTCCTCTAATCTAAATAAGACTGTCTCCAAATGTTTTGGCTTTGAGCACTGCAAGGGGCAGTTCATACATCAAGAAAACTGGTTTTGCATTTACCTTGATTGGAAAGCCAAACTCTCTGTGTACTCTTCTATCCTTTTTACACATAACGTGTCCACCATGAACATGACCCTTCTCTGCACAGTGTTGTGTCACAAAGCTGTACTTAAGCATGTGTGATAATAACAAGGCCTTATACTATTAAAATTACAGCTCGACCCTCAGCTGACAAATAGGAAAAGCAGTGCATATTTTTGAAAAGTGTTAGTAATGACTGTATGCAATTGTCATACTTTACAAAGTCACCCAGAGGGTAATGTTGGAGCCTTTAGCAGACGTTGTTTTTGAAACTTCTGATTCGGGCGGAATTTGCTACGTCGTCATTTTGATTCACAGATCAACAGGATAAATGTAGGTCTAGTTAATGACGGAAAGAAATAAGAGAACAAGAAAAACACTGAGGGGATACTACTACTACGCCAAATGTTAGATTGTGTTTATACATGCAGCTTCCAGTTGTGTTAAGTGATACATCGATAATCAAGTATCAGCAACAACCTTTAATAACTGTTCAGGTCATTACATGTGAAACTAAAATGCCAAGCTATTCATTTCCAGCTTCTCCAAGTTTGCTATTATTCTATTTGACGTATCTGCAAATGGAATTTTTTTAGGCTTTTGGAAGTTGGTGGGATAAGACAAGCACCCCTGACAATGTCATCTTAAACCCCTTATAATATTTTATGAACAATTCTATAACACATAGGTTTGAGCAAGCTCTCTGATTGGTCAATAGGCGTGTTTGATTCCACGATCAAACAACGATCAAATAGAACGTGCCTAATCACAAAGTATCCAGTGGCCTACACACGCCACTAGCCTACCGAAACTACTTCCATGAGCCTACATCGTGTGGTTTCCATAGCGACGTTTAGCGACACACAGCCGTTACACTGTTATACATTGTCTCTCGTTGGAAATCGGTAGCTACAAAATGTCAGATTTTAAAGTTAATTTTGATTTGTTGGGGGGCCTCAGTATTGATGAATGGTTGGACATGGACACAGACCACACAACCAACGAAAGATTTGCGGCTGTTTCAACCAACGAGTTGAGTGCGTTGGAAAAAAGGCTATCGTTACCATGGGAACTACTTTCTAGGAAATACTTTCTGACGGAGATTAACTCAAGCAGAAAGCGTAGGTTTGGGAGCAAATTAGCCCACATTATGAAATCATTTTACGATATTGTTGATTACAATGATAGTTTGTGTAATAGAATCGCAATCATAGACTTGAGGCCGTTCTTGAACGTCATTATTGGTACGACAGTACGCCTGTACTCTCGTGTATGATTGCTTAATTAAAGGATTGCTTATGAAAACAATCGTTGCTGTACTGTATGTACATGCAAGGGTAACAGGATGACCCTGAAAAAGAGTTTATTGCTCCAAATGTTGCAACTGCACGGAGAGGTTGAAAATCTCACTCATCATGCCATTTGCGCCATGTGTAACAGCATCCATCATTGTCCACAGCTTAAAATATAACGCTGTCCACTGCCAGCACAGGTGGTGGAGCCATTCACTGTGAAAACATGCCGTTTTTCCACCTGTCTTCTTGCAGAGTTATTGCAGGCCACAATCTTCCTGACACTGCGTTGTTATTCAGGTGATGCCTTGTCTGTGTGATGAATTGCCTCACTGAGTGGAAAAGAGTCAGTGTCTTCACACTACAGACCTATAAATTATAACGCAGCTTTCCCAGTGGGAAGTCCACGGCGCCTGCAGGCCATTGTGATGTCACTCTCTGTGTGTCTAGTTTGTTTTTGTCAGTTTTCTATTGTTTGCTTAATGTATCTTATACCATATCCTACATTTTCACTAAGCTGATAAAGAAGCAGTATCAACAGTGGTGATCATTCATGTTGTCTTTCAGGGCGAGCGGGGTCTCAGGGGCCCTTCAGGAAAGGCCGGGACCCCAGGCAGAGACGGGGAAAATGGGGTAGACGGTGAGCCGGGGCTACATGGTGATCATGGACTACAGGTGGGCACATTCTCTTTAGTAAACAGTTAAAGCATAAGTGTGTTTATAGCAGATACATGATGTGTTTTTCACTGTTGAAATGTTTTCATCTCCTCTCTGATTGACACCAGGGCACCTGGGGATACAGGGGAGAACGAGGGTCCAAAGGGGAACAAGGTGATGAGGTGAGGAATAAAACAGCACAGCTGCTTCTGTAAAAATAACAAGTCAGTCCCACTTTAATTCAGATTTACTGTTTGTGAAATTGGAGCCAAGCAGGAATGGTTATACTTTATGCAGTTTTAGCTGCAGCTAATCTTTCGGCCGTAATTTAACAATTCAGCACTCAGATGTACCTAACTTTGTGTCCTTGGTATCATTTCAATTTATTTTTTATATTTGTACCAAAATACCACACTTTTTTAAAAACATTTTTTGGAGAAATGTCAACACACTTTTCAACAAAAACTCTTAATTTCACAAATGAAAAAAAGCGACTTGAAATACTAACAGTCCTACTTTTCTTACTGAGGTACAGTAGGACAACTATGACATATCGTCATTTAAGTTAATATGGCGGACAGTTGCCGGATTACAGATTGAGCAGATACAGAACAACATTATCATTAAGACGAAGTGAAATTGTGTCACCCGGCGATTGTCACACTGAGTCCAATTTTCACACTTTACAGTATTCTCTCTTTTTGGTTTCCTCCAACTCCTGTGGGAAAATCTTAGCCACTAAATGTTACTAGCATGTTACCCAGCTAATCAGTTGCTAACTGTTTCTATATGCTGCAGGATGCCTTGCAGCTAGGGTCCTGTTTTTCACCTGCTGGTGCATAAAACATTTTCTAAGAGTGGTGAGACTATGATCGATAGAGCCAAGGGCAACAGCAGAATTGAGCGAAAATATGTATTCTCTCTGGGTTCATCACTTTGACAAGCTGTCATGTGATCCATTGCCCGACTCTTATAGCATAAGAACTTTCATTCAGATTTTAAACATGTTGCCTAGATGAAATTGAAGGACACATGTTTGAAGAATAAACAAAGAGACAAGAGTTAGAAATGACTACTACACTGTTTTTTCTCTACCTTTCCAGGGTCTCATTGGGGTCATTGGTCCAAGAGGAGAAATTGGTGATCCTGGTGAGAAGGTAAATATCATTACTGTTTAATTCCTACTCAGGGTGTCCGCGGGGTCTTAAAAAGTATTAAAAGTTGATAAATCAATTTAGCGAAAATTAAGGCTATTAAAAAGTATTAAACGGCATTTTCCAAGGTATTAAGAAGGTTCACAGCAACGACAACATGAAACACCCTTTAATTTACTGAAACGACATGTCGGGAAACCCCACAAGGCGGCCCCCATAGCGCGCCGTAAAATGCTGCTTATTATTTTAAGTTTCGTTGCCTTGCTCCGCTCTGTGTGTGTGGGGGGGGG